ACAATAATTGTTAGAGCATCTACTAAACTGAAAACTGATCAGAAACTACAATTTATATAACGAATCTACTGTTATTTTTCATGTTTCAGTTACTTCAAACAATAATTACCTTCATTAATTAATATTAGAAAAAGATTGCACATGCAAATGCTCACCCGATTCACAAAGAGTAGATGTCAATTAGACAATAGTCATACTACTTTTGAAATTCAAAATCAAAACAGTGGAACTGTTTAACATTTTACAAAAAAGCACTCCCTAAACTAAACGTTTCACTCACACAATGTTCGCCTACCTCATTCAAAACAGCTTCACTCGCAAACTCTGTAACAGATAACATGCTGCTCGCAACACTCTTGACACCGTTTAATACAACTCTCTCTCCAGCTGGCGGTCGAGGTTGGCGGGCTTCGGCGACACTGAGACGCGAGCTGTGTACATGAACAAGTGCGTACGATATACAACACCTATCTATTGGCGTTTCGCCGCACTACCATGAAGTTTTCTTCTTGAAACTACGAACTTGCACAATTTCTGTACGTTTCGTGTTGGCAGGTTAGGTCCCCCCCCTAAGTGTTGAGTTTTTGGTGGTGTTTTTTTGTCATTTGTGGGTTTGGGGGGGGCCAAATTAATTTGGGAGTTTTTGTTGGCGGGGTTCCGTTGAGTTTTTGAAAGGTTTTTTTTTTTTTTAAATAGCTCTTGTGTATCATAAAATCACAAAATCAAATAATAGTTCTTGTGATTATTGTAGATATATTATTAAAATGTAACTAAATGTGGTCATTCATTTAAAATTGACGGTTATTTGTCACAACCAAAGATGGTAGAAGACAGCATCATTTGATGAAAAGTATCAAATCACAGCAATAAAAAGTAATGGAAACAATGATTTCAGTTAAAGGAAAGATTTTACCCGTCTTTACAAAGATTACTATTATTCTATTTCAGTCATTCACAATAGTGAGACGAAGATACCACTTAAGTTTTGTACCTCGGCACACAGAGTGAAACTCTTAAAACAAAATTTATAAATGTCTGAATTATGTATATTAATATATAAATAGTGCTATAAATTTTTATATATTAGAAATATAGGTGTTTATTGTAAACCTTAAATATCATTATATACATTAATAATTTTTTGTATATTTTTAATTTCCATACCTCTTTTATACTTTAAACATTTTTTTTATATTTACATTTTGGTGGTTTTTGCAGCACTACTTAGTAGGAAATGTTTAATATCACTTACAAATTAAAGAATGTCATCAACTGATTAACTTGTCTGTGAACATACAGTAGTATGTTTCTAGTAGTGTGCTAGAGATCAAAAGCTTGTATTTACAATTTTTTAAAGTGAAAAAAAGAAAGCATACAAATGACTTGAGTAAAATTTATTATAGTATGTATTGTAATTATGTTTTCCTATATATAGCTAATGCATGATATTTGTTTGATAATAAGTAAACACCAAGAAAAAGCGAACCTGTTATCAAAATTGAAAATTTGAATTTCTCATACTGAATTTCAATGTTATTATTAACAAGAAACTCTTGTTTTAATCAAAATATCAGTTTCATTATTATAACAAAAAGTTTCATTGTTTTTTGGACAACAAAAACAATTTTCATTACAAGTGTATAATAAACACTAAAGTAAATGCCCAGAAACATGGTATCAATTTTGAAAGTGTATTTAAAGTTTCAAGAAGGAAAATAGTAAAAAATTGTTTTAATTTTTTTTTAACTAGAGCTCAGCAATCGAAAAAATCCAAACAAAAGTCACAATGATTGTGTTTTGAGAGGAACTTTTTTCAAGCTGAGAGGGATTTTTTTCAAGCTTGTTCCAGGGTTTAAGACAGAAAAAAATTATTTTTATGTTTTTTCAAAAAAAGTTTTTTTTTTATTTAGAATTTGGCACTTAGGAAATATCAAAAAATGTCTTTCTGATAGTGTATATTATTTTCTAATTTTTCTATATTTTTTTCAATCAGATAAAAACATTAATTTGATGGAGGAAAGAACAACAAAAGAAAGAACATGCTTCTGGCTGTAGAGGGGTGTGGGTTGTGGAAGCGGCTAATAACCTTTCAAAATCCAATTTTTGTTAGAGTTATAGTGTAGCTACTCATGTATGAATTGGTTTAGGGGAAGTTTTTACTACCTTATGCAGTGAAATCCTGCCTCTGGTCCTAGCTCTCATACTTCAGGCTTCATTATATATATATATATATATATATTTTTTTTTTTTTTTTTTTTTTTAGGGCTCAAAACCTAATCTGCTGGAATTATGTGCCACATCTATTCATCCATTCATGAACATCACAGTTAAAAGCATATTTATTCGTCAAGGGTCATCAAAGTGGATTTTACCACCAAAACTTTAACTTAATTTTTGGACCGAATTCAGTAATTTTCCTCTTCTGGACTATTTAGTGCTGAAGAAAAGTAATATTTTTTAAATAATCTTCATTGTAAAGAAATACATTTATTAATATTTGGAAAAAAGAAAATACATTGCAATTCTATGTAGTTTTTGTATAGCAATTCAATAATATTGATTTAAGACATCGCCTAACAATTAAGTTAAACAGGATTAAAAATGCATCACTAACGAATGAAATTGTCACTATTCAATAGAAAATTTGGCTTTAAGTACAATTTATAATAACATTTGAAATGGTTAGTAGTCTTCAACAATTTAATTCACAATCATTGGTGATTAAATGATAGTAATATCTAGGGAAAGTTTTAAAGAAAGGGTAAAGGGGATAATTCAGTCCCAGGTTTTTGTATTTTTAGCAGGCGGGAGGGAGGCAAGTGGAAAGCCGGGGGACTGAGGGGGGAGCCGCAGGGGCGGAAATTCAAGAGTGAGTGAATTGCTATACAAAAAACTACATAGAATTCAATGTTATTTTCTTTTTCCCAAATAATTAATAAATGTTATTCTTTAACAATGAAGATTATTTATAAAATATTACTTTTTTCAGCCACATAGTTCCAGAAAGAGGAAAATTACTGAATTCGGTCCAAAAATCAAGTTAAAGTTTTTGTGGTAAAATCCACTTTGGATGACCCCTTGACGATAAAATATGCTTTTAACTGTGATGTCCAATATGGATGAAATAGATGTGGCACATAATTTCCGCAGATTAGGTTTTTGAAGCTAAAAAAAAAAAAAAAAAAAAAAAAATTATATATATAATATAATTATGAAGCCTGAAGTAATGAGAGCTAGGACCAGAGGCAGGATTTCACTGCATAGGTAGTAAAAAACTTCCCCTAAACCAATTCATACATGAGTAGCTACACTATAACTCTAACAAAAATTGGATTTTTGAAAGGTTTATTAGCCGCTTCCCACAACCCACACCCCTCTACAGCCAGAAGCATGTTCTTTCTTTTGTTAGTTATTTCCTCCATCAAATTAATGTTTTTATCTGATTGAAAAAAATATGAAAAATTAGAAAATAATATACACTATCAGAAAGACATTTTTTGATATTTCCTAAGTGCCAAATTCTAAATAAAAAAAACTTTTTTTGAAAAAACATAAAAATAATTTTTTTTCTGTCTTAAAACCCTGGAACAAGCTTGAAAAAAATCCCTCTCAGCCTTGAAAAAAGTTCCTCTCAAAACACAAATCATTGTGACTTTTGTTTGGATTTTTTCGATTGCTGAGCTCTAGTTAAAAAAAAATTAAAACAATTTTTTACTATTTTCCTGTCTTGAAACTTTAAATACACTTTCAAAATTGATACCATGTTTCTGGGCATTTACTTTAGTGTTTATTATACACTTGTAATGAAAATTGTTTTGTTGTCCAAAAAACAATGAAACTTTTTTGTTATAATAATGAAACTGATATTTTGATTAAAACAAGAGTTTCTTGTTAATAATAACATTGAAATTCAGTATGAGAAATTCAAATTTTCAATTTTGATAACAGGTTCGCTTTTTCTTGGTGTTTACTTATTATCAAACAAATATCATGCATTAGCTATATATAGGAAAACATAATTACAATACATACTATAATAAACTTTTACTCAAGATCATTTGTATGCTTTCATTTTTTCACTTTAAAAAAATTGTAAATACACAGCTTTTGATCTCTAGCACACTACCTAGAAACATACTACTGTATGTTCACAGACAAGTTAATCAGTTGATGACATTCTTTAATTTGTAAGTGATATTAAACATTTCCTACTAAGTAGTGCTGCAAAATGTAAATAAAAAAAAATATTTAAAGTATAAGAAGAGGTATGGAAATTAAAAATATACAAAAAATATTATTAATTGTATATAATGATATTTAAGTTTTACAATAAACACCTATATTTCTAATATATAAAAATTTATAGCACTATTTATATATTAATATACATATATTCAGACATTGTATAAATTTTGTTTTAAGAGTTTCACTCTGTGTGCCGAGGTACAAAACTTAAGTGGTATCTTCGTCTCACTTATTGTAATGACTGAAATAGAGATAATAGTAAATCTTTGTAAAGACCGGGTAAAATCTTTCCTTTAACTGAAATCATTGTTTCCATTACTTTTTTATTGCTGTGATTTGATACTTTTCATCAAATGATGCTGTCTTCTACCATCTTTGGTTGTGACAAATAACCGCTCAATTTTAAATGAATGATCCACATTTAGTTACATTTTAATAAATATATCTACAATAATCACAAGAACTATTATTTGATTTTGTGATTTTATGATACACAAGAGCTATTTAAAAAAAAAACTTTTAAAAACTCAACGGAACCCCCTCCAACAAAAACTCCCAAATTAATTTGCCCCCCCAAACCCACAAATGACAAAAAAACACCACCAAAAAACTCAACACTTAGAGGGGGGGACCCTAACCTGCCAACACTGAAACGTACAGAAATTGTGCAAGTTCGTAGGTTTCAAAGAAGCAAACCTTCATGTAGCTCGGCGAAACGCCAATAGATAGTGTTGTATATCGTACGCACTTGTTCATGTACACAGCTCGCGTCTCAGCTGTCGCCGAAGCCCGCCACCTCGACCGCCAGCTGGAGAGAGTTGTATGTAAACGGGTGTCAAGAGTGTTGCGAGCAGCATGTGTATCTGTTACAGAGTTTGCGAGTGAAGCTGTTTTGAATGAGGTAGCGAACATTGTGTGAGTGAAACGTTTGTTTAGGGAGTGCTTTTTGTAAAATGTTAAACAGTTCACTGTTTTGATTTGAATTTCAAAAGTAGTATGACTATTGTCTAATTTGACATCTACTCTTTTGTGAATCGGTGAGCATTTGCATGTGCAATCTTTTTCTAATATCAATTAATGAAGGTAATTATTGTTTGAAGTAACTGAAACATGAAAAAATAACAGTAGATTCGTATATTAAATTGTAGTTTCTGATCAGTTTTCAGTTTAGTAGATGCTCTAACATTTATTGTCTGCACAAGAGTAAAAATGTAATTCCTGAGAGAGAGAGAGAAAAAATTGTAAATGTCACTTTCTCAAGAAAGCTGTAGCTGGTCCACTGTGTTTACTATTGTTTAAAATTATTTTCATATAATTGCAGTTGGTTAGGGTTTTGAGTTTTGTCACATCAAGTAAATTTTTTTTCTTTTGGTTGTATGTTACAGAATTGCTGAATGAAAATGTTTAAGTCCTATAATTGTGGTGTAACTATATATTATCTGAAAATTTCACGTTCACTGAACTAATTTTTCACGAATTTAGTTCATTCAAAAAATTATATTTTCCAGTTTCTGTAATGTTTAATATTGATTAGGGGAAATTTTTTTAAAAAAATGGCTGATGACAATATGCATTTATATGTAATGGAATATTTGGGTTACACCGCTATGGACAAAAGGTTTTCGAGGCCTATGTTACCATGGATCATTGCTGAAATTAAGAGGCGTGGATCAACAGAAAAGGTAGGAGTAAGTTCTATTTTTTTGTACTGTTTTAAAGATTGATTTGCAAATCTTAAAAGATTATGATATCTTCTTATTTTGTTGATAGTATTTTTAAACTGTCTTCATGACAGATTTATATTTGGCAATCTTACCTGCAATTGTTCTAAGATATTTACCTCCATGGTATTTCTTACAAAGTTGTCTACACAAGAGTAAAAATGTAAGGTTTTTCCATTACCAGTATGTTATTGTTTTAATGTAGATTTTTGTTTGATACCCCATTTACGTATAATACACAACACTTGTGTATTATACAACCATTTACAATTTAAATTTACTAAGATAGCAGACTTTGGGTTGGAATTTCTGAAATAGACATTGTATATAATAATTTGACATTGTAGATAATTTTTGCACACGTTCGCATAACCCAGATGGTGTGGATGAAGGTTTATGAATGGGAATGAGCAGATTATTTAGGACTTCATCTGGCTAATGATGATATAAACCACAGAACTTGGCTAAGGTATGGTGATGGTCTCGATCAGGTTTTTGTCCAGTTTCCCTGATCCATTGAGCAAATGCTGATATGGCCCCTTGTTTTGCTTCTGGATATAAATGTAGCTTCATTATGCGCACGCTTTGTTGAACTCTCCTTTTGCTTGTAATGGTAGGAGTAGAGGAAGGGCAAGTTACTATTTTGTTAGCAGTGCAGAAAAATCATACTTGAAATTGGTGTACCGATGCAAATAATTTTTCTATAACTCAGAAACAAAAGTGACTATATTTCAAATATTGCTAATCTTGCGTTTAAATTTTTTTTTTTTAATTTATGTTAAACTTTTACTCATCTTTCAACTATTTATAGTTAAAAAGCCGGGAAGGGAATTTGGAACTCAAGAAAACATGTCCAGATAATCTTCTCCCCCCTACGTCACACACAGTTTTTACTATTTTTTTGACTAATAAATCTAAATCTAAGTCTGAGTGTGAGGTGCTTTGTAAGTTGGCAGGAAGTGTTTTGACATAACAAAATGCATTGAAAATTATGCATTGAACATATTCAAGTTGCTTTTTGTAAATCTCCAAGTTCAAAGCCTCATCACTGACTCTTCAAATAGGTACTGAAGTGTCAACTGAAGCATAGGTGATGTTAGATATGGTGGTTTCAGGTAAATGGAAATTTATGATGTAAGGTTATGATGTAATTTATGATGTAAGGTTTCAGGTAAATGGAACTCAAACGACTCATGATCTGTGTCTTAGAAACTTCCGTTAGCAGTTGGTTCCCTGTTAATCACATATCTCGTATTACTATACACCAATACGTAATAAACCTTACTCACCTCTTGATGGCTAATGCTAACATTATCTGAATAATGTTGCTTTATCTAAAATATGCTACAGAGCTGTTCCTACCTCTGACTTTATCCACCCATTGTGGATAATGTGAACATTAAGTGGCTAATTTGGGAATTAGCCAGATATAGAAATTAGTTTAGTAATTACCATTCATAAAATTATGAATGTTAAGTGAAATAATATTTCAGATTTTTAAGACGGTATTATCGTAATTTATTAATATCACAAATGAATGGAAATAGCTGTTTTGCGGTTAAAACGCTTCGATTGCTGGTGATTAATGACGTGGTTCAATTAAAAGACGAAGGTTATCACACCAGAAAAAGTTCCCTAATGCTTCATTTCGCGAATTCTCGAAAAATATTGTCACATATTCAACGCAATACCCTCGAAACTGTGTTTCTAATTGGTGAATAGTAAGATAAGTCTGGTAACAGAAATTTATATGTAACCACCACGTACAAGGTATCATAAAAACGGGTGGCTTTGGCCCTGCGGTTTTACTTTGCCCTAAGCGAAAGGAGAGGTGCTACTACAACACTTTCTCGTATTACTGTTTTTACGATTAAGTAATGTAATATAGGAACTTCTACCTTACAAACACTTCGGCCATCTCGAAAGGAAGGATCATGCCCTCCTCGGGCATGAGTGTGTTTATATATGTCTTTGTGTTGTCCTTATGTGTCGTGTTCAACCTAGTTACCATAAAGGAAAAAAAACAACAACAAATAATGAAAGTGGTCGCTACATGACCCAGGAGTTGTAAAGCGACCTAAAAACAAAAAACACTGCAGCCGTCGTCGCTTGAAAAATTTCTAACCAAATGAAGCGGAAGAGCTCCTCTTACGGAAAATCATTCTTTACTCTCGACGCAGCATTATGGTAAGGCTTGTTCTAGGGCGTGCCTGATAATTCGCGCTGGTTGTCTGGAGCAAATTAAATTTTGAAAAAATCGGGAAAAGGCTGAAAAAACAAATTTTTTAGAGTATAAGGCATATGGACATGCATATCGAGAACCCAATGCAAGAAATCTTTTAAAAGACTAGATAATGTATTTCGAAGATAATTATATTCATTTCTTTGGACATTTCTCTGGGAAAAATGATAAATTTGAAAAAAATATTCACATGAGCAGAGAAATAATGTTGAGGCTTCGAGTAGTACAATGAATGAAGATATCAGGGTCACTGTCGGAGAATTCTTGCCAGTTCCCCTGATCGGTAGTTTTGTTTTTTTCTATTATTAGTACTGTGGAAAATGGTACAGCAGTGCCGCCCAGGATAATGTTCGCCGAACACTGCTGCGGAGGGACCAGCTGAGTGTTAGTACAGTCTCCCAAATTGATGTCACGCCACTGACAGCACATGGAGAGGGAATAAAATAATCGAAACTGGAGAGCGAATGATTGGAAAAGGTGGCTCGAAATGATAAAACATTTACCTGTTCATCACACCGACGATGTCCGAGCGTGCGTTTATGCCGGATATAATCGGATATAGCACCTGGGGCAACGCTATTGGCCGGGGATACGCTGGAGAAGGTGCTGTGATGGTCAGGACCATGTTTTCATGCCAAACACTTCGGGCCCTTTATTCCTGTCCAACCGTCTCTGACATGTAGTCGTTATCAGAACTTTATTGAGGACTAAATTAATCTGTTCAGTCAACAGTGTTCTCTGTTGGTAAGTCTCTTCAGTTACAGTCACCGGTTTCGGATGGCTCAGGGCATTAATTAATGCTACTGCAGTGTCTGTGACCGAAAGGTCTTAGGGTGCGAGCCTTGACTGTAGCAGACTTTTCGACACTAGTTTGATAGCTAGGTCGACTTCATTCGCTGTCTGGAGGAGAATTCTAGCGGTCGGCAGTTGTAATAGGTATTTTTCTGTGATTTCTCCTATCCGCACCAGATGACTGTCAAAGCTACTGCTAACAAACTAGTCACGGACCGCGCCCGATCGTTCACCTTCGATCCTATCCTCACTCTTTACATGCACACACTACCACACCCGTCGGGAGACCAGTCGGGGACGACTAGCTTGTCCCAGTGGGGATTGGGAAAACCCCGCAAGGCGATTTGGAGGGCGGCGTCAGATCTCGCCCTCCAGCGGGGAAAGATTACTACCATCGGCCGTGATTCAAATATGCACTACACTTACGGGACATTAATAGTTGAGGCGCCCGTTAACATCAACCAGTCAGTCACTTCCTATAGAACATTGGGAATTTCCTTCAAATTTTCTGGCCTCCGGGAAGCTAAAATATGAAACCTATTGAATGATCGTGGTTTGTCTTGGATAATCGGGTTCTTGCTACATCCATCGCACCCTGTGTATGCCAACTATAGAACTTGCTGTTACGCTTGTGGTATCATAAATCCTAGGAAATGTTGCAGCCTCGTTAAATCAACGCTTCGCTTAATGGCTGCAAATCTACAAGGTAAACGTGGTCCTATCTGTATTAGCAGGTTATTGTAGAAGATCATTGTTTGGCTCATCGGTGTGAGTACCATCGTGTTAAGGCGGCTCCAAACATTCGGCGCAAATAGCGAGCGACTTCTCACTCAAGCCTACGCATTTGACGAATGCTCGTTTCTTTTGTGCGCAAAAGACCGGCACGAAATGGGTACCACCAAGCGAGCACCGAATGTTTGTCACTTGCCAAATAATAATAATAATAATAATAATAATAATAATAATTTTAAATAGAAAAAACTAAGGACATTTAGTTTAAATTATCCAAGAAGACTTGAATGAATTAAAAATTACTGATAAATTAATTGAAAATAAAGAACAATTCAGAAAAATAATTTAAGATGAGCAGCTCAGATTCGCAGAAAAACCTAACTCCTAAGGAGGGGCAAAAGTGTCAGAGAGGAGAAAAAAAGGCAACATCTGAAAAAATGAAGGAATATTAGAAGAAACGTAAAGAAAGAAAAACGTAAGTAATTTAATTCCATAGTGGGCGATTGAAAGAGTAATAATAATAATAATAATAACAATAATAACAATAACAACAACAACAATAACAATAAATACTGAGCGAATTGGCTCAGTGCATGGCGCGCTGAAATCGCAATCGGGAGATCCGGGTTCGAGCCCCGAGCCCTTTTTTAATTTTATTTTTTCGCCCTCTTAACACTATTTCATCTGATAGAAAAAATACGAAAAATAAGAAAATTATTCATATGTGCGACGTGTACAGGCTTGTATGCCGGCGGGCGCATGTTACCCCGGACCAGAGGAAGAATTTCTTCCTTGTCCCTCCAGAGCCGATGCAAATATTCCTTATAGGCGCAATTCACTCCAGAACCGCCCGTACGCCGTCTGATATAGTCCTCTTACGGGTAACGAATGGGTTCACCGTGAGAACTAAATATTTTCTATTGTATATATAAATAATTCATCTACTATCGGTCCTCATGCTGACACACAATTGAAACGGGTTCCCCAAGGTTATTTATTTTGAATATGTGCATATCAAGGACTTCATGCCCTGCACAGTCAGCCACTAATACTGTTTCCGTATTCTATCTCTTTAATTATTTTATTATTTAACATTTTGCTCGCGCCGCCGCCTATTGTGACCCGATGGATACAGAAATATGGCTTATATTAGTTGTTGTGACCAAATCGTAAGGAAAGCAGTCTGTGGGAATTA